TAAAATAACAATAAATTTTAAATAGGATTTTAGTTGGGTATTTATATTTGACACTAAAATTATCTCTTTATCCTAAAGTAAATGGGTCACTTGCCTAATCCGCGTGTCAATCCGTGACACAACACGTTTATATTTGTGTCATAAACAGGTGATACACTCGTTTATGACACGAACTCTTTTAACCTCAATCATAACCCATTTATTTCACGTGTTAGATGAATTGTGTTCGCGAGTCATGACCCATTTTAACACCCCTAGGGTCTATGGTCTCATTTATGGATCAAACAAATGAGATTAAATATTTTTTTAAAAGTATTCTGACTTTATCTTTATTTTCCAAGTGTATGGTCAGAAATACTTTCATTTTAATAAAAATCCTTAATTTCATTGGTTTGGTCCATAAATGAGGCTATAGACCCGGCCAAAATGTTTTAATTGGAGGATTAACTAATTAAGTAATGGGTGGTGAAATTTGATTAATTATGGTTCCAATTAAGGTATTATTTGCCTGGATCCGGTCAATGAGCCAACCCATAAATTAAATCAATAAAAAAATAAATTTTTATTGAAATGATGGTATTTCTTACTATACACTGAAAAAAAAAAAAAAAGAAGTATAAAGTGTAAAACAATATTTAGAAATGGATAAATTATAAATTCACTCCTTAACTTTGCAATTTTTAACTTTGTGGCACCCTGAACTTTGTGAATGACCCATTGTGAATGACCCATCGTCCACTTAAACTTACAAATTTTGATAACATTGCATATAGTTCCATGCTGATAGTAATAGTTTTTAGGATTTTTTACTATTACATGCAAAATATTGATTCGATGTATAGTTAGCATAATTTTTAGAACAATAATTTTCACTTTTTTTTTAACTATGTAATAAATATTTAATTGATTTAATTTTACAAGTTGAAGTGTTTAATAAAATAATCTTAAAAGTTGAAGTGTTTAATAAGTGCAATTTTATAAGTTAATGTATTTAATATATCGAAGTAAAAATTGAGGATGTCACAAGGTTAAATTCGCAAAGTTCAGAGGTGAATTTATATATTCAACCATTTAAAATTTTCTATTTCATTAGTTTGATTCATGAAGATACATATAGGTTCAATTTTTACAAATCAATCCTTCAATTAATACCCTTCAACCCGTAATAGAAGCCACACAAACATAAATCAAGAGACTCAACAACTACAAACCCATTTACAATCTCGTCACGAGAGTTAAAAATATTATCTCCAAAGAAAAGATGAGCAAGATATGGAAATTTCTGCCTTTTTAAGATATGGAAATTTCTGCCTTTTTCTGAATGCAAATTTCCAAGCAGAATCAAAGTTTTAGGACCAAATTAGGGACAGCTTATTGTGCTTTCATCACTGAAATTTCCAACTTCATACTCATACATAAACAGCATATACAAACTTTTTTTTTTTTGGCTTCAAACAGCAAACCGTAACTAATACGTGTGCAGTATCACAATCTTAGAATCTTTCGAAACCATCAATTTTAATTTTAAAGAAGTGTGAAACCATAATCAAACTCTTCTTTGACCACTTTTAAAATAATTTTAGAATCTTCCATTTCAATTCAGTTTTAGTTTAAGATTGGATTTAGACAATTAAGTAGTGGAGGGTTAGATTTACTTAAAATTTACTGATTACGGGTCATTCAATCAATCACCCTTTTTTCAAAAAAATAAAATAAAATAATAATTTAAAAAATCACTCTAATCTCTTTTTTTTTTTTTTTATAAACGTTTTTTTTTTATAAACGGCCACTGGTGAGCTCCCTTTTTCCTTTAGCTAGTTTTTTAAACTTTCTTTTATTTTTTTATTTCTTTTTCAAATAATTCTTAAATTTATATTTTTTTATATAGATTTAAGTTATTATTGCCTTCTTGGAATTAGTCTTATACATATTTTGGATTAGTGTTCCCTATATCTTGGAATTCATCATCATGGTGATTTTATTTAATATTTTGTTATTTGGGAAGTTATATAGAAGAAGTTACAGATATTCTCTCTCATAAAATGAAGAAATTTATTCTCTCTCATAAAATGAAGAAATTAAAAAGTAATTAAATCAGACTTGTCGAAAGACTATAGAGTCAGAAATTGATCATAAATATCTACCAAGTGAAGCAAGCGGCCGCCTATAACACATATTATATTCTATTAATTTGATCAGATATTCCCAAAATTGCATTTTTTTTTTGTTAAATAATTTATTATTAAGGCTTCCTATACAAAAAATAGAAAAAACTGCATCCACCCGATATGTCTATATTTGTATATTTGTTCACCCTTAATGAAATTCTTCTTAAAAAAAAAAAGTCAGTTACCCTCTTCAAACCCATAACAGAAGGCAGGAAGCCACACAACAACACAAGTCAATAGACTCAAACACCACCACCAAAAACCCATTTACACTTGGTCTCTCGGAATTTAAAATCTGATCTGCAAAGGAGAAATGGCCAAGATATTGGAAAATTTATTAAAAAAATTAAAACTCAATTTACGTGAGATGAGACTCAATTAAAACTTCAAAACTATAAATGATTTCGTTCAATTTGCTTACCACTTGGTGTACCACTGGTGTAACTGTGAAAGCAAAATCATGAGGACTTTTTGGCTTGCGGAATCTAATCTAGCAGTCTTCCTTTGCGAAATATTGCAAAGCAGTCTTCCTTTTCTTCATGGACAGAAAGTGATATCATAATTAGCTCCACCAATGCATGAAAATGTGCTTGTCAAATCATCATAAGCATAGGTATAAGCTTGAGGGCAACCAATCAATATTCTGTGCAAGTAGCTGGCGTATTAAAGTTTTCTGTGCAACAATATTCTGGGCGATTAAATGCTACACATGCACTTTTGCAACCAATCACAGAATTTCCATTTGGCCCTTTAATAGCTAACTCATTAGGGCAATCAGAGTTCATATTTGGCAATCAGAGTTCATATTTCTTGCACAGCTACTGGTAATGCATGTATTACCGGAACCGCCACATGGAGAGACTGACATTGGCACATTAAAACCGTCGACAAGACTAACGTCGTAGAAATCTTGACCACGGTTTTCTGCTAAAGTTAATTCTATAAGAGAAACTGGTGGATTTCCTCCAGCACCATTGCATGAAATTTGTCCGGAGCCACATTCGCCAGTTGCACATGTGAACTTTCCAGTTGAATCGGTAGAACATTCTGTTCGGCCCCAAAACCTTCCGGTGAATGGGGCTGGAACATCTAGAGATTATGTGAACTTTCCAGTTGAATCGGTAGAACATTCTGTTCGGCCCCAAAACCTTCCGGTGAATGGGGCTGGAACATCTAGAGATTGGGTTGCTTTTGTTGGTGGTTGAAAGCCAGTTGTTGACTGTTGAGGCCTATTACCACCGGTAAGGGTTGCTGGCCAAACTGTGTATGGACAATTGTTGGTGAAATGTATTGTTGCCGGGTGAGCTCCTACATTTGTACATGATTAGATATTATTAAAATGAACCAAAATGTACGTTCAATATATATATATAACACTATAATGTATTTTTTTTTTTTTTTTCAATTTCATAATTAAGTGAAAACTAATAATATACTTATGCATTATAAAATTATGATAGATGTTAACATAATCATATAATTATATATAATGTTATTCTACTGAAGAAGAAGAAGAAAAAGGCACTTAAAAGAAATAATTCCTTAAAACCGTTAATCGGCAGTAAAGAATGCTCTTGATAGAATAGGAAAAAAAAAAGTTCTTTCTATGCATAAAATGAATATTTTTTATATGGACACACTAGATGAATAAATTATTAAATAGAAATTACCATAGAAGAGGAAGACTAGATTTTTCATGGTTGAACTTTTTTGATTGATTTTGGAATAGTTCGTAAGAAGTATATATAGCCTCCTAGAATTTCCTTATCATTATTGGATAAATTTATGATAGACGTTAACATAATCATATAAATAAATAAATAAATATATAGATAGATAGATAGATTAGCCTCCAAAACTAAATTCAAGAACTGGAAGATAAAAATCGCTTCTGGAGGGAGATATGTATATATTGGAAATTCTTGATGGGTTAAGAGTGGAAATTTTTAATCGCATAAGAGTTGAACATAATTATGAAATCTTTAATCTTTAAAATTTAATATATTAAAAAAAATTTTTTACATGCTTTTCCGTTCTAATTGAAAGTAATATTTAAATAAAGTTCTTTCAACAGTAGTCACTTTAGATATTTTTAACGATTCGAGAATTAATTAATTAAATAATTGAGGGTTAGATTTACTTAAAATTTCTTAATATAGTTGGTTCAATTTACTCTTAAACCCACATAATAGAAGCCCTAGAAACACAAGTCAACACCAGCACAAACCCATTTACAACTTTGTCATGGGAATTAAAATCTTGTCTCCAAAAGAAGAGATGGGCATGATATATATATGGAAATTTCTGGCTATTTTTGAATGCTTATGGTCTCATTATTGCAAGCACAACCAAAGTTGTAAGACCAAATTAGGCACAGCGGATTGGTGAAATGCCAGCCGTAGACCAAATTAGGCACAGCGGATTGGTGAAATGCCAGCCGTTAATTTCGGTTTTCATCAATAAAATATCCAACTTTAATTGGACTTACATAAACAATATAGACAGCACATTTGGGTCCCTAGAAATTTTTTTCTTCTTTCCTCAACAAGTTTAACAGCACATTACAAACCCAAGAGTGGTTTGGTTCAAGTCGTAAATTTAATGGATAATTTATGGAAAGTCAAAAATCTAAACCTAGTGAAGACATTTATATATAGGAGGAGGCAGCCATGGATGCACAAACGAAATTAATTTTATAATAAAAATAAAATTTCCTAATAAAAATAAAATTTCCGATTCATTAATTACTATTATTTAAACCATAACAACAGTAAAATTAAATAGAAAAATTTCCAACAAATAGTTTTGAGTATGCTCTCGTAGCATGAAGTTCTGAATTTCTTCGTTTGTTTTTCTTGTTTCTTTTGGCTGCGATGGAACAAGATAGTCACAATCGATCCCTCGATGATGAGGAAGAGGAGGGTCTTTCCTTCAATATTGCTCTGGTCATCGCTGATCAAGGTTTTGAATTCTTTCTCGTCGGGATGCTTCTTACATACAGCCCGATTAATTTTACCTCGATGAAATCTGTGCTAGTAGATCTGTGGCATCCTCTTGGGGGAATTACGATTACTGATATTGGAGCAAAAAGATTTCTTTTTCGGTTCTATAATCAGGTGGATATGGATCGTACCGTTGATGGTGCTCCGTGGTTGTTCAATAAAAACCTCTTGGTGTGGAGTAAGATTAAACCAGATGAAGACCCTTTGAGGATTCCTTTGATTACAGCTGATGTTTGGGTGATTGTGAAGAATTTGAAGCCTAGGTTTATGCGTGAAGAGGTTGCGAAATCGTTAGGTGATTTTGCTGGCAAATTTGTGAGCAATGATGCAAAATACTTGACTGAATCTGCCGAACTGGAAGATTATTCCATGCGAATTAGAACTACTCTGGACATTCGTCAACCGTTACGAAGAATGAAGAAGCTTTTAGATGTAAAAGGGGAAGCTTTTTATGTCTGGTTTTCGTATGAAAGAATTTTTGTCTTTTGCTATCTATGTGGATTACTTGGCCACACAGATTCGTACTGTGAAATCCGTTTGAGGAAGAAACTGGATGAACTGATTTTTGGTTGGGATGAACGGCTCCGGGCTTTACCTCGCCGGAATCGTCGAGCTCCTAGTCAATGGCTGTGTGAAAATGGTAAGCCTCAAATTAGGCCATGGAACATGGCGGGTTTGAAGGAAGGAGTTACTACAAGGGATGATTCTCGTCTATTATATTCCCAGATTTATCGCACTTCACTTTTTGTTAATAATTCAAATTTGAATGGTGAAGGTGATGATTTTGGATTGATGGAGACTGAATCCATAGGAAGAATGAGTATCGGTGGGCTTGAGGATGATAGTGGGCCTATTATACATGGTGATCCAAAGAAGAGGCCCAGAAGTGATAAAAATGATAAAAATAAATCACCACCAGCTAATATTTCTTTGACAAAGGATTTATTAGGTGGAAATCAAGTTGGCGGCAATGCTTCAGCTTCTAAGATATCGGCTGGTCCCGTGAAGCGGGATAGCCGGAAGCAATGAGGATAATAAGTTGGAACTGCCGAGGCATTGGCAACCCTCGGGCAGTTAGAGCACTGAATGATCTAGTTACTAATTATAAACCTGACATTGTCTTTTTATTGGAAACCCGTATGCATGCTAGTCGGTTAGAGGAAGTTAGAGTGCTTATCTCTTTTGATAATTGTTTTTGTATGGATAGAGTGGGGTTAGGTGGTGGGCTTTATTTGTATTGGAAGTCCCATGTGGACTTAACCTTATTGTCGTTTTCTAATAATTTTTTCGATTGCAAAATAAATGATAATGGAACTTTTTGGAGGTACACTGGGTTTTATGGCTTTCCCGAATCTAATAAAAGGAGGGCTTCTTGGGATCTCTTACGCTCTTTGGCAATTCGTTCGTCCCTTCCGTGGCTTATTTCGAGGGATTTCAATGATACTATGTTGGATTATGAGAAATTGGTGGGCCTCCTAAGCCTAATTCTCTTTTAAATGGGTTCAAAGAAGCAGTTTCTGAAGCTGGGCTAGTGGATATTGTTTCTTCAAGCCCATTTTTTACTTGGTTTGGGACTAATCCAAATGGTCAAAAGGTCCAACAGAAACTTGATAGGGCTATGGGCAATGTTGACTTTGCTTTTTTATTTCCTAATGCTGCTTCCTTTGTTCTTGTTACACCCGTTTCAGACCATTATGCCATTTTTGTTGACGTCTCTCCTTCGTTTCATGATGGTCCTGCAAATCGGTCATTTCGGTTTGACAATTCATGTAACATCCCTTCCCGGTCCACCCATAACGCGAGTAAACCGAGCCGAGACGTTACAAACTGGTTGACTGTATGGTTTGACATGCTGAAATCATAATGTATAGTGAATATAATCTCATACTGAAGTTGTTTACATTAATAATGTACTTAAGATTTACAAAACATGATACTAAGTTCAAAATGGAATGGGCCCAACTGTGTGCCCTGTACATGCCATGAAAAGGATGGACAAAAATACACATCCAAAAGAGTAGCTACCCTGAAGGCTGAGTCTTCTACTACCCTTGAAGGCTGAGTCTCTTAAACAGATGAACTGCAGCAAGTTTTGTAGGCGGACTCTCTACGAACAAAGTCCAAGAACCTGCGAGTTAAACAGGTATCGCTGAGCAAAATAAAGCTTCAGTGGATATTTCAAATAAAAAGAATACAATTAATGCAGCATACATGTGTAGAAGAACCATGTAAACACATATGCACCACATAAATCAAGGAATATTGTAATGGAATCCATAAGGTTATAAGCGAAACCGAAGTGATAAGAAAAAACCTGTATGAACACTGTATGCTTGGCTGCTATGGCCCATAATAATCAATATCCACTCAACGGCCTTTAGCCGGAGTACGAAACTGTATGAGGTGCAGATCTGCTATCCTATGTCGGCGACATGGTCTTATCTACATGGTTTCTACCTAACCTCAATGGAGCATAAGTGTTGGTATGTCAAAAAGTATAACAACAATAATCACATTACTGAGTTCATAATGTATGTCCATAACTTCAATAAATCATAATGTTTTACTTGATTTACTTGATTTCACATCATTTGTATGCTTTCATGTTGTTTGATACATGTTCTCATGTTGTCTTTTTGTTTTAGAATGATTGGATGCATACAAGGTGAGCAAAGGAATCAGATTGCATTGAAAAAGAAATCCAGAAATGCATGAAATCACAAGTCGCGAGCGCGTCTTGTAAGGTCGCGAGCGCGTAAGTGCAAAAATGAGAGACAGTGAGTATCGGGCACAAGTCGCGAGCGCGTACTTGAAAGTCGCGAGCGCGTAGTGTGCCACTTGAGAGTCAGTGAGTTTCAGTCCAAATTCGCGAGCGCGCGAGGAAGGTCGCGTGCTCGTAATGCACAAGTCGCGAGCGCGCACTGAGAGTCGCGAGCGCGTAATGTGCAGAATGAGAGGCAGAGAGTTTCAGGCCAAAGTCGCGAGCGCGCAAGTGCAAGTCGCGAGCGCGCGACGTGTTTCCAGCCTACGCGGTCGCGCGACGTGTTTCCAGCCTGCGCGATCTGTTCCAGGCCTGCGCGATCTGTACTCTTTTGGTCATACCTCAATATACAACTCCAATTTGGGTGATCAAAAAACCCATGCAAAAGCTAACACATAGAGGGAACAAATAACTCTTCTATGACACTTCCTAATTCCATCATTAAATGGGGTCAAAAATCAAAGATGAAGTTACTGGTAAAATTTCCAGCAACCCTGTTTCAGCTAACTCCATCTTTTACTCATTATTCAAACCCCTGTTTTCTCACCATTACCAGTCCTCCCACTCAACATGAAACAACACATGGTCTCATTAGCAACACACCACACAACTTCTCATGCAAAGAAGATGGTAAAAGAAAAGAGATATCAAACCTTTAAAGCTTGAGTTCTTCTTTAGCTTCCTCCCCTGCTTTCTACACTCTTTGAACTCCCTTCAACTATTCATAAGAATTCGTATAAATATGCTAAAATAACACCAAATGATTCAATTATGCACTTCAAGAAGGTTTACTTACTTGGATAGAAGAGAAGTTGAAGTTAAGGCTTAACTACCTTAACTACTTCAATTATGAACTTCAAGAAGGTTTACTTACTTGGATAGAAGAGAAGTTGAAGTTAAGGCTTAACTACCATGAAAATTGAAAGGAAGGTGGAAGACAAAATGAAGAAGATGAAGATAAGGATGACAAATGGGAAAGTGCAATGACTAGTACGGGTAGGCCATCAAAAGATAAAGGGATTTAAGTCAAACTTACAACTAGTACCTCAAAAATCAATTTGTTCCAACTTAAGACCCAAGCTTGATCTTTTAGTGCAATTAAATCCTACCCTTTATACTTTAATCTTTTCTCTCATTCAAGTAAGTCCACTTATACACCCATTCTACCCCAACCGGGTTTGGTTCGGCCTGACTCAACTCGACTCTATGAAATGACTCGACTCGGGAATGTCACAATTCATGGCTTATTGAAGATGGGTTTGAGATGGTGGTGCGTGACTGTTGGGAGGGGCTGGGTAATACGGATTTTATAGAGAGAAAGGAAACTTTAATTTCTAAAATCAAATCGTGGGGAAGGAGGCGGAATCATCATTTTTGGGAGAGAAGGAGGATTATTGTTAGACAACTTGAAATTCTTGGGGGAGTAGCAGATGGTTCAGAAGTTTCAAGGCTTAAGGAAGAGTGGAATGAAATTCTTCTAACTGAGGAGATTAGAAGGAAGCAGCAAGCCAAACTCTTTTGGTATACAAATGGTGACAAAAATTCTAAATTCTTCCATAAGCATATTAAAGGACGTCGTGCTTTGAACAAGGTGAAGTTATTGAAGTTTGAGGATGGACAGGTGTTTCTGATTTGGGAGGTATGTCGGATTTAGTGCAGAATTATTTTGAGAAGCTATTTAAGAGTAGCAGTACAGCAGATTATAGCAGGTTGTTAGGGATTACGAGTAAAGTTATTTCAAACGCGGATTCGGCTTTTTGGTTGAGGCTTTTCGTAAAGAGGAATTTCGCGAGGCATTGTTTAGTATGCATCCGGATAAAGCTCCTGGTCCGGACAGGCTAAATCCTGCATTTCTTCAAAAATATTGGCACATTCTTGGAGATGATATCTTTAAAGCAGGCTCGACTTGGCTTCAGGAAGGTACATTTCCCCCTGCCCTAACTTTAACTAATATTGTGCTCATTCCTAAAATTGCTGCTCTAGAAAGTGTGAAAGACTTTAGGCCTATTGCTTTATGTAATGTGATATATAAGATTGTATCGAAAGTTCTAGCGAATAGGCTTAAAAGAATCCTCCCACACATCATTGCTATCAATCAATCTGCTTTTGTTCCTAATCGACTAATTACAGATAATGTTTGTGTGGCTTTTGAGACTGTTCATAATTTGAAGAATAGAAGTTCAGGAGACCTTGGTTATTGTGCGTTAAAAATTGATATTAGCAAGGCCTATGATAGAGTGGATTGGGGTTATCTGAAGGCTATGTTGATTACTATGGGTTTTCCTGCGATGTGGGTTCAGTGGATGACTATGTGTTTTTCAAATGTCAGCTATATGATTAATTTGAACGGCTCTTTAGTGGGGCCGATTGTTCCTCGTAGAGGTCTTCGTCAAGGGGATCCGATATCGCCCTATCTTTTTCTTATTTGTGCTGAAGGGCTTTCCACACTTTTTAGGGATGCCGAAAATAGAAGATTGTTACATGGTTGCAGTGTGGGTAGGGGCTGTCCGCGGGTTTCTCACCTGTTATTTGCAGATGATTCTCTTCTCTTTTTTGAAGCTAATGTGGCAGAAGCAAATGTTGTCAAGAATATTATGTTGGAATACGACTTAGCTTCAGGACAATCTGTAAACTTTCAAAAATCTGGTATCTTGTTCAGTCCGTGTGTTCGCAGGGAGGTTAAAGCTACCATTACGAATTTGTTGGGAGTTACTTGCTCACTTGGTAGTGGGTCTTATTTAGGACTTCCCTCACTTATTGGTCGTAATAAAAAACAGATTTTCAACTTTATTAAAGACAAGCTTTGGAAGTGGATTAACAGTTGGAACAACAGGTTTCTTTCGAGAGCCGGTCGTGAGGTTTTAATCAAATCTGTTACCCAAGCTATCCCGTCTTATTGTATGTCTGTTTTTCTTCTTCCTCGTACATTGTGTGAAGAATTACAGGTTATTATGAACAAGTACTGGTGGAATGGGAAGAAAGATTCGGGTGGAAGTATCAATTGGCTTTCGTGGGAGAGGATGAACGCATCAAAGATGAAGGGAAGTATGGGTTTTCGGGACCTTTATCAGTTTAACATTGCTATGCTTGGCAAGCAAGGGTGGCGTTTGCTTACGAAAACTGATACTTTGTTCTATAGTATTTTTAAAGCTAAATATTTTCCGTTGGGGGATTTTTTAAAAGCTTCAAGGGGTACTAACCCGAGCTTTGTTTGGACTAGTATCTTTGCTACTATTGACTTATTGAAAAAGGGTGTTCGATGGAAGGTGGGAAATGGTAGGAGTATTCTTGCTGGTAGTGATCCTTGGATACCGAAAGAAGGATCTTTTATTGCTGATGATGGGGCTATTTTTGTTGATGGTGCCTTGAGAGTCTCGGATTTGATTTTGGATGATGGTAGAAGGTGGAATATTGAAAGGCTCATGGAATATTTCTCTGCCCACGACGTAAGTGCTATT